GTTGTAATGCCATTGAGACCACGTTTGACCAGACAAAGACACAGGTGAGCCATGTTAGCATTTTTAGCTACCTAGCGCCACATGTTTTGATGTCTGTTTTTGTTTATAAAGTCGCGATTTCGTATAATTGAGTGATAATGAGGGTACCCTTCGATTCTGTGTCACCTCACGATGTGAAACGATGTGTTGGATGTGCAGCAAAGTTATATAATAAGGTTTTGTGAGTGAATTTCGGTGCAGTCATCTGTTAGCATTTTCCGCTCGTTGCTAATTCAGAGGCTCAGCGTTAACATTGTGGGTTTTATTTTGAAAAAAATAAAATAATGATCAGTTAGATGAGTTTCTTCCCGTTACATGGATATAAAACATTCATAGTTTATTAAATGAACATGCCCTCAGACACTGTTTCCTGCAAGATGTTGCGGCAGTGCCCCGGTACAGGGGTCTCTCGGGCATAACAGTGTTTTAAAGAAAGGAAAAATATCGTATATTTCTATTTTATTAAATACATCCTATGAACAGAACAACTTATGTAACCGTTTGTGGCCCTTTGCCCATTCATCCCTAAGAAGACCTAATTTGTTAAGAACAGCTGTTTAAAGGTTCAGTCAGTTGTTTCCCAAATAGCTGGGCTCTATCGTTTTTAGGATGTTATTCAAATGAGTGTAAATAGTGCATTTGTTAGGGACTATTTACAGCGGTGGATTAATCCACATTTGGTGCTCTGCTGAGTATTTGGGGCAGCAGGACGGTGTGAGTCCAGTTTTTGTGTTTAGTTCACGGTGGGGCTCATTGATGTGTTTCTAACAGACAACATTGGAGATGAATGGCACAGAGGAATAAAACTGTGTTTATATATGCACCATTTCCACCAAGTCAAATTCCTCGGATGTGTTAACCTACTTGGCAATAAACCTGATTCTGATTATGAAACGTATCAGGCTTTGACTACACATTAAGTTATGTATTTATTTACAATAGTTCATGTTACTGGTAATAATTGTATATTCACTTTAAAAGATCTTTACTATGGTGTACTTATATTTTCTTATTGTATCAATGTGTGCTTGCTAATTAAAATGCAAGTTTACTCTTTTTGCCTTTGCCTCTAACCTGCATCAAGATTTTAGATTCTGATTCACAGGCAGTGTAGGGCTCATTTTGTTCTTGTTACTAAATCAAAATCAGAAAATAATGTATTTCCATACAATATGACAAGTGGTCAGTTAGTTTAACTTTAAAATCCTACTGTGATTGCACACGTTTTACTACTGAAATTGGTGGTGAAGCATAATATATGTGTGATTTGAAATGCAAGTTTTGAATAAATCTTATCTGTGTTTCTGTGCGTTTCAATGTAGATCATCTGGAAGGACAGCCATTGCGAGCTGAAAAAAGGAAATCAGAGACTTTCTGCTGCCTAACCCCACATGTAGGTCCTGTTTACGATCACAATACAACCAAGTTCATATTAAAATCTGTTAAATGAGCTGTTCACTTCAATGTAATGCATTGCAGCCACACTCGAGTGGTAAGCGCTTTAGGCGAGGAACCAAATCCTGTTAGAAATGTCAATTGAAAAGGTCTTGAGATATTAAAAATGTAGTTTTTAATTAAAGGTTTATTAATAGATTTTTCCAACTTTTTTTTAATTACCCGACCGGATGCCTGAGGCATTTGGATTACAACTTTTATCTCACTCGATTCAGACTGCCTCCCCTCATTCAGCCATTTTGGATTAAAAGTCAGACTTCATAAATGCTGTTCATTAATTCCCAGAGCGGGCAGTTAATGTGAGATTTGGTTGCAACGTTACGGACGCTCTGAGTGTTTGTCTGTTTATTTTTAGATTCTTGTGGCTACTTTGCAGTCCAGGCCAAATCTGTCACGGAGGAGAACATGGAGGAAATCATAATCGCTGTGCCAAAAAAAGATTTTCAATGCACTGCTGGGAAAATTCAACATGTTAGTGACACATACTTTCACACTAAATGATGTTATTGACATATGCCGTAGTGCAGAATTGTAAAAATAAATTGTAACCAATCTGTTTGCATGTGTCAAATGAGGCAATTAGTATGAAAGATACAGATATTTTCTCATTTTAAATGTATGAATAGATTACAAATGTGTATTCAATAACAAGCTTACTAGCAAGAAAATAATGTCATTATGGGTAATTTGTGAGATTTGATGATGTAAAATCTGATCATAACTGTATGAAATGTAATCACCCACATTATAAGTGGATTTCAGGATTCCCTTCTGAAACACCACCAGGTCATTCTGGGAAATGATGGAAGTTACAAACTGAAGAAGAAAGTAGTTTAAGGATTTGATCAACCGGATGGATTATCTTCTGATAGTGGGAAGTGTGTAACAGTGAAAACTATGAAAGGTGTATTTAATTCAAGCAAATTATATGTGAGCTTTGATTTCACATTGAAAGCGCATGGGTTTGATATTCCTGCAATTGCCAGAGATCACATGTTAATGAATCACGTGGAAAACTACTTCGACATATTCAAATGTTCTGGGTTTCTGTAGGTGTTGCTTTTTTTTCATTTACAGGAACAGACGTAGTGGTTCGTAATGATCTAACAATGCAAGAAATCTGAAACTGCTGATGGAAATATAAAAGCGTTCACGTTTTGTGCAAAAAATACTTAATATTCTGAAAAGTGGATGGTACGAAACACTGGATTACCAACTGATTCACTGCATGTCCTTTTCACAATTTGATTTAGTGTAAGTCATTTGTTTAAAAGTGTACCATTGGATTACAATTTTCACTAACAGTAGACTGGTCCTGCATTATCAGCTAAATATGTGTATCCTATTGTATATAGAAAGCAAAACATGTGTTGTTTTAGTTTATATTTTGCACACAACTAAAAACCAAAACATATTATCCATTCTTGTTCATGTGAATACTGATTGTTCTAGATAAAATGTGAATTTAAATGTGACAAAGAATATATACAAAATGCACACAGATGGGGGGTTATTTGGGGCCGATCCACATGTGTGCGTCAGGACCCCTACACGTGTCAATCAGAGCTTGGTGAAGATCAACAATGATTTTTTAAATGCATATTCATTCACATGCAAAAGGTTTATTACTCCTATCACATGTGGTTGAGGTTCTTTATTAATATTGCTGAACCATTGAAAGAGAAATACAACCATTTATTATCTAACACACAACGGCCTCACAGTAACAACCATCAATTATCAAACCACCACTGAGCACATGCTTTTGAAATTCCAGCGTGTTTTAAAAACAGGTTTTGGCTTGTTAACATTCAGAGTGACAGGGTGTATGGTGGACTCTCCGCTGCAGCACAAAGCAGCGAGTTCCCCCTCTACCTTCCTTTAAGCACAAAGTATGCCACTTGGTGCGTAACAAGCCAGGTACTAAGATTCTGTCATTAGCAGTATTGACCGCTGGCAAGAGGATCAATACATTATTATGAAATCATGCTACACTTGAAATGGACTGTTTACGAGCTGTGTTTCTCAGCATGGTGTAAGACTTACTGTGAGTCTTACACCATGAGAATGTAGATAAAGGTACATGTAGCGAGGAGGATTTTGAATCCGCTTTTTATCGTGATACATTTACACAGAATGCAAACACAGCAAAATCTAGACTGCATATAACACATCTTGCAAGAGCGGTGGAATAAGGGCAGCAATTTTTTTTTGTACACAGTGCCCAGAATTGTAAATAAGCAATCTGTATGTAAAAAACCACCTGTATGTAAATTGTAAATAAGCCATCTGTATGTCTTATATGTCTTATATGTCTTAAATGATATGATGAATTGGAAATGGGGGACCCTGATGTAAACAAGACGAAAGTCTTTCTCTGGTCTGCATCCCATTAACAATTGTATGTTTTGAGCTGTACTGTACTGTACCCAATATACAAGCTGTTAATAAACTTTTCAATCAATCAATCAGAAGGTGAATTTGCACCTCTCCAGGTACAAGTCCGCACTCAGTCCTGACTTGAACCGTCGACCCTCTGCTTCCAAGTCAAGTCCCCATTATATTAAACTCCAGCCAGTTTACATTTTATGTATTTGTTCAGACATAAAACATGCAGACTTTATCGAACTGGAATCATGTTTTCAAAATCATGAAAAATCAACTGAAGTACATTTTTATCCAATTGCTAAAGTGAACGCGTTCTCTTACAGTATTTTAATTAGAAGAGCATAACAGTAATTTATCTCAATGCTGATAACACTGAAGATGTTTGATCTGAACTCTGTTTGAAATCACATAAACGGACAAAATATGAGCTAAAGCAATATTTGGTGGTAATATTGAAACATTTTATCTTAAATACTGAATAATTATGATATAATGGGGTCAGTGTTGCTATTCTAGTCCATATTTTGAGCCCATCATTTAAGATAATGCGTTCTAACGAATCTGTATATTGTTTAAACCCATCTGAATACTTTAGGTTCAATTAGTTGATGTTTAATATCATTAAAACCCCCAATGTGACTGATACACTATTCTGTTGATTCAAATTAAACAAACACATCTCTAGATTCTTGTTCTTCACTAAAAACAAAATGTGAACATTGTATATCAAGGAAAATACTTGATTTGTCTCTACAGTATCAACACATGTAAACAATGCATCACTTGCAAACACACACACACACACACACACACAACACACACACACACACATACACATACACACACACACACACACACACACACACACACACACACACACACACACACACACACACACACACACACACACACACACACACACACACACACACACACACACACACACACAGGGCTCTGACTTGAACTTTGAAAGAGTGCAAAACTGAGTGTAGGTCTTGAGGGAACAGGAAACGACTTCCCTCCTCCCCCCTTCAATCTCCCCCCCTTCCTCCCCTGTTCCTCCCCCTCCCCTCTTCCTCCCTCCTCCTCCAGCTCCACGCTATAGCAGAGAACTAGGCAAGCCAACTTGCAGAGTGCAGCTCAGCCTCGGCAGCGGCTGCTTCCTGTACTGGGGGTCTTTTCGGAGAGCATTGCGCTCCAATGTGCGCCGCTGTGCCCGCTGGATGTTGAAACCTCGCCCGGAGCCACCATGTCCAACTCAACGCAAGACCCCTTCTACTCTTCTCCTTTCGGACCCTTCTACAGGAGACACGCGCCCTACATGGTCCAGCCCGAGTATCGGATCTACGAGATGAACAAGCGGCTGCAGGCGCGCACAGAGGTGAGCAAGCAGCCCGGGGGAGAGTGCCTGCTGTCCGACCACGCTCAGGCGCCGGTGTGGAGGGTAGCGGGGATGTGGAGGTCCGGAGCCGAGAGGAAGGGAAGGGATGTTGGGGCTGGAAGAGAGGGGCTCGGTTTACATGTGTGTCAATCAGGAGGTGTGGATGTGATGCCAAAAAGTGCCAAACATTCCTGAGGTGAAAGTAAACAGACTGCGAGAAATGTCCTCGTCTGAAGTCATACGGTTTAGTGGAAATAACACGATATGAGGAAGAGATGCTTTCACGTGCCTTATTAAGTTGTGTTTTAAGCTTCACCTAGTCTGATTGAGTTTAGCGATTCACCTGAAGTAGGGTCACGTTTCAAAATCAGGTACAACTGTTCTACAAATCAGTGATATCTACAGTTATCATATTATTTAGCTTGACAGACTGTTTTAAACAGGCTGCTACATGCATTTGCATACATTTCTTTTTTTTAGATGACATATTTGCATATTGTGCAAAAGCAGTTAAACAAGTCTGACAAGAATGCAGAGAGTTTGCTCACTATGAAGTGCTGCAGAATGATTCATGATTAATCCCTGTGTCTGTGGATCAAGTTTCCTCAATGAAAGTGACCCTGATTGCAGAGTAAGGTGATCATGATATAATTGCTTTAGTGTGAATTATTTTCACGTCAATTTTCCTGATGCTTCAACCAGTTTGTCTCTCTGCGAGTGTGGCATACTGTGTCATTCAGACTAAACCTTTGCTGGTCCCTCTGTGAATTATACAGCAAGCATCTGTCTTCAGCATCTGTTCTCTGATCTCAAATGTGTAAGTGTGCAGATAAAAAGTTCATCCAACATGTCAAGTACTTCTCCAGAGGCATATTTATGAGAATATAAAACAGCAATACGCAATAAAAAGCACCTTTTAGCTGCCTAACTCTTCACTTTGTGAACTATAAATGTTAGGGCTGCAATTAAGGGTGATTTTAATGTTGCATTAACCTGCCAATTGTTTTTAAATTGATTCATTTATCATTTGACCTATAGAATGTCAGCAACCACTCAAATGTGTCTTTGGTGACCTCTTAAAAATGCCTTTGTCCAAAACCAAAAGATATTCACTTTATTATATCAGGATAATAAGAAAACCAGTACATTTTCACAATTGAGAAGCTTTAACCAGTGATCTTTTATAATTTAACTTTAAAAAATCAGTTGTGTATTAATGTATTACAATAGCCAATTAACACCATGTTTTCTTTACATTTGAATTCTGGTAGCTTTCATTTGCTATTTGTCTCCCACTGAGACATTAAAAACGGAGGCATTTCAGATCATAATGAAATGATTGGATATACAGTATAGGAGTTACATTCATTTTCAGAAATCTGGTTTTCGAGCCAGGCTCCGGCTGTGTTGCTGCAGCAGCTCGCAGAATGATGCTGACTTTCCTTTAGAGGAACTTGCAACTTTAAGCAGACCAAGGCAACGCTGCTGAGATGCATCGGCCCAGTCTGATGCATTATTCATGCGGAGTGGTCCAAGCCTCAGCGGACCTCAACTCCCGTACCGCACACACCGAGACACCAAGTGCAATCACCATGCTCACACACACACATGCACAAACTCACACACATGTTCACACACACACAGACTCAGAGACATGCAGGATGGTTGCATGCATGTTAACGCACCACCTGACATGCATACAGCACAAACAACACATGGATGACTTCCATGAAATGAGCACACAAACATCAGTTCAAACCATTACCTTCATCTCCTCAGACTTAATGATATAATTGTATAATAATATAATTCGTTTTTTGTTCCGTTGGTGTTCATAGCATATCCTTTCTTTCCTCAGCAACAAGAGTTATATATATTCCCTTTAGCTATGGTTAGTGTTTAATTAAAATGCAGCCAGTGAGAATAATGAGGAAAAGGTGTCTTATAACGAGAAATAAATGCATACATTGTTTGTAATTAGTATGCATCAAGATGTGCCATACATTCAGGCTTATATCGGAATGATATAGTAGTATAGTATTTACACAAATCTTGCATGGGAAAAACGAATTTGAGGATTGTGATAGAAATCTGCCTTTAGAGAGAGCTTCATGTATAATTTGGGATTGTGTCTTTATCTGTAATTAAAACAGAGCTGTAGATTGTGTAGAAATATTGTGTGTGCTTAAAGAAACAGAGCAGTTTACTTCCTGTAAAGCAGGTTAGCTTTTCCCTTAAGGGTTCGTTCAGTTTTTTTCCATAGTATCCATATACTTTCAGATGCATCTGGCTCACTCTTAGAAATAAGACCATGTCAGTGTACACACATGGTCAGAGAAACAGGAAGTTATCTAAGATCTGTATTCCATTAGAAGAAAAAGGCTGAATTGTCCTGGATAGTTTCTTGAATATTTCATCAAGGTTTAGCGACTAGCAGCTTTTGAAGATCCTTCTGTGTCAGATATAAAACGCTGGCAGTGAATGCTGGTTTTATGGAAACATCAGTTTGATTATCTCAGTCTTAAAAGATATATGACCATCTTAATCGTTTTGTTTTGTTGACGTTGGCTTTACTCCCGCATTCGTCACTACTGTATACGAAAAGAATAACAACAACATTTGCAAAATCTTCTTTCCTATCAAAAAATGCAGACCCATTATCTAGAACAGATATGATGTACAGAAATAACCATAAAGTATCTCTATTACAACAAATAAGGACATTTATGATGTTTAAATGTCACACAAAATATGCACATTTATTATAGTTTTTTTGCCATAAACGTAATTCACAAAAACAGAAAAATGTACAGTATGTAATTCTGCAAAGGTTGTTAGACTCCCTGTTAGAGAAAGTGAAATAAAACTCCTGTAAGTAAAGTAAACATATGAAATGAGGATAGTGCTGCATATACTGTAAAGGGCTGCAGCACCAACACTGAAAGAATTATGTTTTAAGGACCAAAGCATCCATTTTGGCATCTTTTCAAACATGTCAACTTTTCAAAATCATGGTCATAGGCAATGCTCGTAAAACAATTGGGTATGAAGATGATAAAACAACATTACGTTTTGTGTCAATATGGCAACAATATATAGGCTTGACCATGCTGCTTTCACAAAATAGTTTCAAAGTGACATTATAAATACATAATCATCAATAATGTAGATGTAATGACTAAGTTGGTAAAGGCAAATGGTTAAACATGTAGATAATAGTCAAAATTACTGTCATGCAAATTACTGTCAAATATTGAAAATTACGATATTCAAAATAGAAGATGATATCTCATCTCATGTCATGATATAGATATAATATTTATGCATTGCCCTTACAGAAATACTTGTAATAAGCAGGGGCTTTAATTGTTGTGCTTTAAGCATACAGCAGAAATCAGAAAGTGTATAAAACAAATCAAAAGAACATAATCATTGTGAATTCATTTGTTGGATTTCAGTTTGAAGAGACACATGAAAGCCTTTCGTTGAGTGGGTTGTATTTTGTTGATCCAGTCAAAATGATTTCAAGCTTCGCGTATAGCCGAATTATCAGCCGAGAAAAGATGCTTAACATCGTGAAAGCTCTTCCATTGTTAAGGATGAAAATGCCTCGGAGCGTACTTAACACGGTGCCGATGAAAATGACTCACTGTAGTTTGAACAGGATAAACGGACTAAGCCTCAGTAAGAGAGCACCTTTCTGAAAAGGTGCTGAAGGAGTCGACTGAAGTCACACTTCTGGTAGAAATTCTCCCATTTGTCTTATTCATGAGTTTGCTTTTGGAATTTGCTTGGCTGGTGGTGCAACTGCTGCTCGCACTGGCAGGCGCAGGACTCAAGGACCTGACACTCAGAGACGGTCTTACCCCCGAGAGGAAACTACAGTCTGTACGAGTTTAAGTGACATTTGTAGCAGAGGCTTTATGCCGTGAATCCTCCGGGAGTGGGAAAAAAAGTTGTTAGAATTAGACTGAGGCATGTTATTCTTTGGATTTAACATCTTGTATTCTGTATTGTTGCATGGACTAGAACTTCTAGTGGATGCTGTTGCCACTGACATCACACAAAGGACGTTGTTACTTCTTCAAATGTCTCTTTAAGGTTTGTTTTAAAGAGATATTTAGTGTTGTTTGCTTTCATTATAGCCAAGTTAGTTAAAGGTCCCATGTCATGCTTTTCCGGTTATTACCCGTCCCCTTGTGTGTTATGAAGGTTTTTCTGCATGTAAACGGTCTGCAATGTCTTTCGTTTTTTGTAAAGCACTTTGAATTGCCTTGTGTTGAAAGGTGCTATATAAATAAACTTGCCTTGCAGAGTCACAAACCCTCAAAGTACACCTTGTAGCGAGTAAAACTCTAACACAGAAAATACCTGTCTATGCTGCCTCAGAACGCCTCGTTGGAGATTTCTCTTTTTCTTCCTGGGTACAGTGACGTGACGGCAAAACTGTGGTGCGCCGCGTTTGGGGGGGGTTGCGGGTGCTAGTGAAGCCTCGCCATGTCCCACCAACACGGCACCCAGACCCCACGCAGCATTCTCATCTGTTTGTTGTTACTGGTGTCATTTTCTGGTTGCTAACGCCATGGTAACACAGAATCACTGATGTTCCGCTGTAACGGTGGTGGACAGAACAGAGTGGGCGAGCTGACCAATCAGAGCACAGTGGGCTCACAGGGAGTGGGGGGGGGCAGGATTATAAATCATTATACATTATAAATCTATTCTAGTAGACCTCAACAATGGAATTATGATCAGTAGCAATGGCCATGACATGGGACCTTTTTAAGTAATTTATCAAAAGATAATCCTCATTCATTTGGATTATTTGACTAAACGTTGAAGTTACTTCTCATGTAAAAAGTGGCTACAAATGCAGTTTTAAAGGGTCCCTATAATGTTAATGTTCAGGTTCATGCATGTAGTGTCTCTACTGGGACACGTCTCCATGCTTTAATGTTCAAAAAGCTCTTTATTTTTCTCATACTGCCTGTGCTGCAGCA